AGCTGAATATTTAATGACGAGCGCACCTTTAATTTTAGAATCATTTCTCAACTAATTACCTTTTATCCCTAAGTATAAACTGTTGTCTTTTGATTTACTGTCATTTTCTTATCTTGAGGTAAATTGTAAAGCAACTGTAATCTTTAAATTATAATACTGAATAGTTCTTCCTATGCCATTCTAATCTCGTTAAATTACATGCTCAGGCTACCTAACAATTTACTGTGATATCTCAACAATTAGTGAGATTCATCCAATTAACAAAAACCTTATAATGTAATAAATATGATCGAAAACACCTATAATTTGGAGAACTACTTTTTTGTGAGAAGCAAAAAAAAAAAAGACAAACAAAAACAAAACAAAACAGGAAAGAAAAGGGGGGAAAAATAGCGTTTTCCATATGCACTTCACTTCCTGTCAACTTCATTGATAAGATACTTTTTAGATACGGATGGTTAAGCTTTCTAAAAAATTCTAAAACATTTTGGGTTTTTTCTCCCATCAACGACCTTTTTATTTTTATTATTTTTTTTATTTTTTATTTTTTCATTGTCATGATTCAAAAGCTGTCAAGTGCCGTTTTGTGGCTGTTGATATTGTAAATTGTCTTGAATCAGTTAAATTAGATACGTTTATTATTATTATTTTTTTCAAATGAAGATATGATCGTCGCAGTTATAATTGAAATTTAAGCAGTTGCGAATTAACCCCGAAAAATTTTCGGGACTTCAACGGGATTCGAACCCATTTTTATAAACTGTTCTCATTTTCTTTAATGTACATTGTTAAATAACTCTTAGTTACTGTTAGCTTAACTGTTAGTCAATTATTTGAAATGAAAGTGGAAATGAACCTCATTTCCACTTTCATATTGTTCTCCACAGTTCAAAATATGAGTCATTTCATGCATTTCCATTCATGTCATTTATTTGTTAATAAATGCTCAGAGTGTGTTGAAAACGAGTGAACGGTCGAGATCTCATGGTAGTTTGATATTTCGTCAAGAAAATATGACTTTTTGTCGCCTTGATAAACAAGCAGGGTATTATTACCCTAGAAATGAATATCTGTACTGCGGTGTTTTGTAGCTTACAATATACTTAACAACATACAGACTGTAGGGCGTTTTTGATTGGTCGATGAGGAATGCTAACAAGCCTATTTAGTCCAAATAGAGGTTGTAGAATGCAATACGGAAGTTGCTATGGAAATAAGGGGAAAAGCGAAATTTGAAATAAAAAGCAAAATGGTTGACAGCCGGTTTACTTTGTCGGACGAAACAGTTTTTAACCAACTGAAACCAAAAAAAAAACACTACTAAATTAGTTTACTGTTGTTTTGGCTCCTTAATTTACCCGAGTGCAAACTTTAAAAGTCAGAGAAAATATGGTGTTCTGTTCGATTTCTCGTTCTTTTCCTGATGTCCTTTTTTAAATTCCAGTCCATTGCAAACCTGCTCTAAACAAAAAAAAAAATCAAACGCGTGAAAACACGAGGAATGCGCGATGAAGTAGAGTAAGGACACATTCTCATGTGCCATTTGCGCGCCCTATTTTGCCCATCTTTTCTTTTTACCCAGGTTAGTCCACCGCCGCATTGATGAAATGGCCTCGTGGTGATGGTTATCATTCATCATGCTGCTCTCTTAAGAGTTTGCCACAATTCTAAGTAACGTCACTACCTCTTCTTTGCTTTCGTAGTGAATGTATGTTCTATGACAATTTTGTCTCTCAGAAGCTGCAAAGGTTTTCGTTAACATTTGTGCCAAGTCTCAAAATTATATTTTGTCTCCGTTGTCATTGGTAGTGGCCCAAAAGTTTTATTGTCGATGGAACCTAAATACAAACTTCAATCAATCTGAATACTTTCTTTACTGCGGTACGGAATTCTCGTTTACGGATAGAATAGATGATCGGGTTACACAGTGTGCTGACGAAGAAAGTACAGGTTGTTGCAAGAACTACCTCGGCTGGAACATCGATTCCTGGAACGAACTGACGGCAAATGCCCATAAGCCAGGCTGGGAGATAGCACAGCACGAACGCAGTGATGATGATGGTGACATCAACAGCTGCCTTGCGGTCGCTCAGCCTCCTCGATACGATCTCTTGCTGCTGAGGGCTTTGAGCATCAGCCACTTGGACGTCAATGGCGTTTATCTGCCTTCGCGCCGCCTTGTACACAGACCCGTTCAGGAATACAATGACCATGAATGGCACAATAAACGTTGCGATCGGTAAAACGATCATGTTTCCTCTTGTGGAATCACTCTGCACAGCCCATCCCTGCTCGCAGAAGAACACCTCTGGGTTGTAAACGTACTTTCCCCAACCAAGGAATGGACCGATGGAAAGTGGAATCGGGATTATCCAGATAAGTGCCATAAATGCTACTCTGGTTTTTGTAATGGTGCCGTGGTACGTCAAAGGCGACTTGACGATCGCTAGGTATCGATCATAAGACACTGCTAGCAAGTGAAGAACCGTGTTGATGTAGAAGTATCTCACAAAGAATGGGTTGAGATAACACATTGTTTGACCATATAACCAATGTTCTTGCGCTATGCTTTCGATGCGGAATGAGTTGACGAGGACCAACAGCAGAAAGTCTGATAAAGCCAGACTTGCCAGTAAAATATGTCGCATCACATGAAATCTTGATTCGAGGATGATCGTCACTATGACCAATAAATTACCAGGAAGACCGATCGCGTCGAAAAGTGCGTGGAAGGCTGCTATTACTTGAGGAAAGCTCATGGCTGGAGTTGCGTACATACAAGTAATGTAATTTGTTTGACCGTTACGAGTAAAGCAACCAAAGTGAGTTAATTTTCTCAAATGTATGTACTTTTTACAGCTGAATTGAATATTTTCTTATACAATTTACGTCATTTCTTTTCTTTAGCTGAATACGTGGACGGAAATTGGTCCCACACTGTAACTAAAACGCAGGGAGTAACATATGGAAAATCTTGTACAATTCCTGAAAGCTTAGTTTCTGTTCTTTTTCACTTTTGTTTTCTTTAGAAAATATATATTTAGGGTTTTTTGGTTGTTTGGTTTTGTTTTTTAATCTCTTTGAAACAATGAAAATCATTTTTGAAGGAAGAAGAAACAGTGAAGAAACAATCTCTGATCACTGCAAAACAGCAATCGTTTTTAATAAGTAAAAACGTTCACTTCCCCCTGCGATCAGCTGAATATTTAATGACGAGCGCACCTTTAATTTTAGAATCATTTCTCAACTAATTACCTTTTATCCCTCAGTATAACCTGTTGTCTTTTGATTTACTGTCATTTTCTTATCTTGAGGTAAATTGTAAAGCAACTATAATCTTTAAATTATAATACTGAATAGTTCTTCCTATGCCATTCTAATCTCCTTAAATTATATGCTCAGGCTACCTAACAATTTACTGTGATATCTCAACAATTAGTGAGATTCATCCAATTAACAAAAANGCGTTCTTTTCCTGATGTCTTTTTGTAAGGAACTATTCCAGTCCATTGCAAACCTGCTCTAAACGAAAAAAAAAATCAAACTCGGGAAAACACGAGGAATGCGCGATGAAGTAGAGTAAGGACACATTCTCATGTGCCATTTGTGGGCCCTATTTTGCCCATCTTTTCTCTTTTTACCCAGGTTAGTCCACCGCCGCATTGATAAAATGGCCTCGTGGTGATGGTTATCATTCATCATGTTGCTCGTTTAAGAGTTTGCCTCAATTCTAAGTAACGTCACTACCTCTTCTTTGCTCTCGTAGTGAATGTATGTTCCATGACAATTTTGTCTCTCAGAAGCTGCAAAGGTTTTCGTTAACATTTGTGCCAAGTCTCAAAATTATATTTTGTCTCCGTTGTTATTGGTAGTGGCCCAAAAGTTTTATTGTCGATGGAACCTAAATACAAACTCCAATCGATCTGAATACTTTTCTTACTGCGGTACGGAATTCTCGTTTACGGATAGAATAGATGATCGGGTTACACAGTGTGCTGACGAAGAAAGTACCGGTTGTTGCAAGAACTACCTCGGCTGGAACATCGATTCCTGGAACGAACTGACGGCAAATGCCCATAAGCCAGGCTGGGAGATAGCACAGCACGAACGCGGTGATGATGATGGTGACATCAACAGCTGCCTTGCGGTCGCTCAGCCTCCTCGATACGATCTCTTGCTGCTGAGGGCTTTGAGCATCAGCCACTTGGACGTCAATGGCGTTTATCTGCCTTCGCGCCGCCTTGTACACAGACCCGTTCAGGAATACAATAACCAAGAATGGCACAATAAACGTCGCGATCGGTAAAACGATCATGTTTCCTCTTGTGGAATCACTCTGTACAGCCCATCCCTGCTCGCAGAAGAACACCTCTGGGTTGTAAACGTACTTTCCCCAACCAAGGAATGGACCGATGGAAAGTGGAATCGGGATTATCCAGATAAGTGCCATAAATGCTACCCTGGTTTTTGTAATGGTGCCGTGGTACGTCAAAGGCGACTTGACGATCGCTAGGTATCGATCATAAGACACTGCTAGCAAGTGAAGAACCGTGTTTATGTAGAAGTATCTCACGAAGAATGGGTTGAGATAACACATTGTTTGGCCATATAACCAATGTTCTTGTGCTATGCTTTTGATGCGGAATGAGTTGACAAGGACCAACAGCAGAAAGTCTGATAAAGCGAGACTTGCCAGTAAAATATATCGCATCACATGAAATCTTGATTCGAGGATGATCGTCACTATGACTAATAAATTACCAGGAAGACCGACCACGTCGAAAAGTGCGTGGAAGGCTGCTATCATGTGAGGGAAGCTCATGGCTGGAGTTGCGTACATACAAGTAATGTAATTTGTTTGAACGTTACGAGTAAAGCAACCAAAGCGAGTTAATTTTCTTGAATGTATGTACTTTTTACAGCTGATTTGAATATTTTCTTATACAATTTAAGCTAATTTACGTCATTTCTTTTCTTTAGCTGATTTTGTGGACGGAAGTTGGTCCCACACAGTAGCATAAACGCAGGGAGTAACATATGGAAAATCTTGTAAAATTTCTTAAAGCTTAGTTTCGGTTTCTTTTTACTTACAGCGTTTTTTGGTTGTTTGGTCTATTTTTTGTTTGTTTGTTTTTTTTTTTTTGATCTCTTAGAAACAACAGTGAAAATTATTTTTTAAGGAAGAAGAAACAGTGAAGAAACAATCTCTGATCACTGCAAAACAGCAATTGTTTAAGTAAAAACCTTAACTTCCCCCAGAGATTAACTGAATTTTTGTTAGCTAATTACCTTTTATCCTTAACTATAAACAGTTGTCTTTTGATTTACTGTCATTTTCTTATTTTGAGGTAAATTATAAAGCAACTACAATTTTTAAATTATAATACTGAATAGTTCTTCCTATACCATTCTAATCTCGTTAAATTATATGCTACCCAACATGTTGATATCCCAACAAATCTGAGACCCATCCAATTAAAAAAAAGACAGTACAATATTAAAAATAATAATGAATATGATCGAAAATGCTTACAATTTGGAGAACTTCTTTCATATGTGAGAGAGAGAGAGCAAATAAACAAAACAAAACAAAAACAAAACAGGAAAGAAAAGTAAAAATACTAATTGTTTTCCAGATGCCGTTCTACTCTCATTTAAATTTATTGATTAGATACTTTCAAGATGCGGGGATAAATATTCTAAGATAGTTTTTTTTTTCTCCCATCAACGACCTTTTCATTTTTGTTATTTATTTATTTATTTTTTATTGTCATGATTCAAAAGTTGTCGAGCACCGTTTTTTGGCTGCTGATATTGTAAATTGTCTTGAATCAGTTAAATTTAATACTTTATTTTTTTTTTTCAAATAACGATACGATCGTCGCAGTGGTAATTGAAATTTAAACAATTGCAAATTAACCCCAAAAAATTCCCGAACATCAACGGGATTGGAACCCATTTTTATCAACTATTCTCAATCTTTTTTAATGTACATTTTTAAATAACTATAAGCCCAAATTTTGAATTAATTGAAGAGTCATTCCATCTAAGCGAAAGCCCTTTGGGCGTGGTAGTAGAGGACTAGGTTACCAGTTTCACCCACTCATGAAGAATGTTTTTTTTTGCACCCAAATACTGGACAAAGTCACGAGAAAAAATTTGAACGTTCACCTTACTTTTCAGTCATTTTTACTCAGTAAACTCGAACTTAATTCGAATTCCCCACTAACTCGAACGAAATTTCGTCTCCATTGATCAAAATTTAGCCCGACAAGTCGAATTCTGGTTCTTAAAACTCACCACGGACGCCATGACTCAAAAGCTCTTCTTCCTGTCATGTAATCAGTAAAGACACTAACTAACACTTCAGCAATTTGATGTTTTGTCATTTTCCGATACTATGAACCCGACTCCGGAACATGTGTTACAGTTTTTGATGAGATAAGTTTTAATTTGCGCTGTACCGTAAGTATTGAATTGCCCCATGAGAAGGAAACCCGGATTCCGTATTCCGGATTAATCCAAAAAAGTTTTGCTTGTGGAATCCGTAATCCTGTGTTTTGGAATCCGGAATACAGCTCAAGGAATCCGCAATCGACCTTCCAAATATTGGAATCCAGAATCCAAGTTCTATTGACAAGGACTTGAATCCACAATATGGAATCCGAAATCCACGGCGTGGAATCCAGAATCCGAGATCCCTTACATGGAGCGATGTGAAGTGTTGAAAAATCAATACGGTAAACTTCCGATTATATATTATAAGCCCTAGGCTTAAACTACTTCGTTAGGGGTTGACAAGACAAGACAATATTTTATTTGGGGTCTTATATCAGCTGGTACATAGACTTTTTTCCAAATAATTTAAAATTACAATCTTCTATGTTAAGCTATTTATTTCACTCTACATATCATTTCGTTACAAATACACTGAGAAGGAGGAGGGCTTATAAACGGGTGGAGGAGGGGTGGGGGCTTATATCCGGACTAAAAAAAAATTTTGTCATTTGATCGCTTTTTTAAGCTTCAGAAAGCAGGCGAACACGCGAGCACACGAGAAACGCGAGAGAGGGATGATGGGAACTCAATATTTCCCAGTGATCGCGAGCGACTGGGGACGAGGCATTTTAAATGAGGGAGCTTACAAGTGGGGCGAGGAGCCGCTCTTATAAGTTTACGGTAAACCATCAGCTATTTATATGGCAAAGTGACTATTCAATCAAACCCGATAACTGGAATCCCATCAGAGTTCCAGTTATCGAGGTTCTACTTTAATCCCCTTTATAGCACCTCCAATAAATCAACATCGTCTTTACTTTCAACCTCTTGAAAATAATGGTAAAGGAAAGCACTGTACACTGGTATTATATAGCCAAGTAATTGGGCAGTGTTTGACCGCATACCATAACATTCATTCCTTTCGTCGCCGCCTGATTTCATGGCAGCATTTTGAATGGAAGAAAAGTCAGCTGTGCTGGACAAAGGTTACGTCATCTGAAGCGTCTAAAAATACTCCAAAGTCGATGCATGGAAAACAAAAGAAGGCCGGATAACAAGACTTTAGATCATTATACGTTTCTGGGAAACTGCCCACCTACCCCTCCCCTAAGCCAACATTAACACTTACTTCTCACTTGGATTGAGGTTTAAAGGGACACAGTCAGCTGATGCACATGTGCATTAAATACCATTTCTTAGCTGATTTGCATGTCACAAGACGCGCGTGAAACAAAAGCGTATCCGGAATACTCTAAACAAACCTTGTAGATTTGAACTAGTTACCAGCCGAAATCGTGATTTTAGGCCCTAAGCCACATCAGAGCACTCATTTTTTACATACTATTGAGAATTCACCGGTGGATTTTTCGAGGGAAGCCAAACATCGACTAATGCCTCTAAGTACCGAAATTAACGTCCTGTTCGAATTTGTTTCGTTTCTAGTCAACGATGAATCAAAGCCTAGTAAATAAAAGTGCAGATTTTCTTTTGTCTGAGTTGAATATTTTTTTCCGTGTTCAACTTTCGATCTTCATGCGTGAACAAAAGTGTTTTTTTTTTGCCATCCATCCTTTTAACGCTTTATCCACTGTGATTTTCTAAATCGTCCAAAGAAATTTAAAATTACGCATGGCGGGTAAAGTGGTTAAATGTTTTCAGCTAGAATTATTTATTATCATAACAACCACTGTTATCATTTTATTATTATTATTATTATTATTATTATTATTATTATTATTATTATTATTATTATTTTTCAAAATTTAAGCTACTTTACCAGCTATTTTCTTTAAAAAGTGTAATCGTAGCCTGAGTCCAGGCTCCACAGTGGGGGAAAAAGGCAAAAAACGGGGTGAAACAGAAAAAATAGTCAGCGGGCGAAGTGAGCCGAGCAGTGAACTACGGCTTCGCTCTCTTCGCTCGCCGATTTTTTTTTTCCTAATGCGGAGGCTGTTCCCAGGCTGGTGTAATCGCAGTACAGCAGAAGATGAACAAATTAAACTGTCCAAATATATTGCAGAAAAAATAACTAAACGAAATTAGCTGACAAATCGAGTGCGGCATATGTTTCTCAAGGACGCCAAAGGTTTTACTTCATTTCCATGATTGACACAATAGCTGTGATTTTAAGTCTACATGAGCGGCTGCGTTCAAACGTCTCCTGTTGCCATGCATAGTTAAACGTCTGCGCCAAGGTTAATGTCAATCAGGGTCTTTGTTCCTTTTTCTTAAAAAAAAAAGATTTTTATCCAAACAAAGTGATTCTTTTGTTCCCGAAAATAATATTAAAAACGAAGCGAAACGAGGCTAAGGGAAATTTATCTAATTTTACATATGTTTCGTATATTTTTACAAGAGGTCATAATAGCACATAATCTGTTGGCTAATAAAGTAAAAGTTTTAGTAAAATCTTTGCGACTTAACGAAATGGCTATTTCTTTTACTGAGCCAATGCCTCCGTTTTCTTACTATTTTGGACCATTTTCCGTCAGCATTAAGAGCGACCATTGTCCAAGAAATTAACGTACTTTTTTATAATATTCAAGTCAGCTGTAAAAGCACATACATTTAAAAATACCGCAAACTCATTTGTGTTACTTTGCTCAAAACAGTTAAGCAATGCAAAGCACATGACTCATCACCTATTTCACCCATGGCTTTCCCTCAGGTGATAGCCACTTTCCTCGCACTTTTCGACCTGATCGGTCTTCCTGGTAACTTAATTGTCCTAGTAACGATCATCTTGGAACCAAGATTTCATGTGATGCGGTATATTTTACTTGCCAGTCTCGCTTTATCGGACTTTTTGCTGTTAATCCTCGTAAACTCATTCCTCATCGAAAGCATAGCACAAGAAAATTGGTTGTATGGTCAAACAATGTGCTATCTCAACTCGTCCTTTGCAAGATACTTCTTTATCAACACTATTCTTCATTTGGTAGCAGTGTCTTATGATCGGTACCTAGCGATAGTCAAGTCACCTTTGACGTATGATGGCATCGCTACAAAGACGAGAGTGGTGTTTTTGGCTCTCATCTGGATAATCCCTGTGATTCCAGTTTCTTTCGGTCAATTCCGTGGTAATATAAAATACGTTTACAACCCAAAGGTGTTCTTCTGCGAGCAGCAATGGGCTGTGCAGACTGGTTCCTCCACAAACATGATCGTGTCATTCATCGCGATCCTTCTTGTACCACTCCTGATCATCGTGTTTCTAAACGTATCTGTGTACAAAACAGTGAGAAGACAGATTAAAGCCATGATTGAAGTCCAAGTAGGTGGCCCTGTTGATACTGAAAGCCCTCAACAGCAAGAGATCGCATCCAGGCGACTAAGAGATCGAAAGGCAGCTGTCGATGTCGCAATCATTATCACCGCGTTTTTTCTGTGCTTTCTCCCAGGCTCGATTAGAGGTGTTAGTAGCCAGTTTGTCCCAGAAATCGATTTTCCACCCGAGGTAGTTTTTGTCACAATGTGCATTTTCTTCTTCAACACAATATGTAACCCAATCATCTATTCCATCCGTAAAAGAGAATTCCGTAACGCGGTGAGGAAAATGTTCAGAATGGTCAGAGCTTGTCCAGATTTAAACGGCAACGACAGCGTTTGATTGGACAGGAAATCATGAGAAGTTGGCATCAACGTTAGCATAAAAGTCGTCAATTCTCCAGAACCCGTGCTAACCAGGAACACAAAGGAAGATGTATTGGATTGGAAGAAAAAGTGCTGGCCGGGTGTCACGCATCCAAAATTACTAACTGCCCGTGAAAAATGTTGAACCAGGAGCCGATTGTAAATTTTTACCATTGTTAAAGGGAAACTCAAAACTTCAGTTACCAATATATGTCGGCCGAAAGCCTACGTAGACATTCTTTTAATTAACAATTAATGAACGAAGCTGAGTATCTTATGAAGAATTATAAGTACCCTCCGAGATCTCCATAATTCTTCATAAGATACGAAAGCCGAATTCAATAATTGTTTTATTATTCATTTAAAATAATTCCTACTTTAAAAACAAAGCTAAAACATGCTCACCTCCATCGATGTTAAGTTCACCTTCGATAGTGTACGTTTAGGGTTTTTCAGCTCCGCAAACGTTCTCCAAATAGTAGATGTCGCCCTTCGAGTTATGTTCTTGCTGTTCTTGCCATGTTTTTAGCTATAATTCCGCCTAGTTCTTGCTCTTGAAACGAGTGAAATGTCCGCCATTTTTTGTTTTCACTACCAAAACAACTCAACCTCGTCCCCAGGTCTTCTCGGTTAACGGTGCCTTAACCTGCAAGAACGCTGCATTTTTGACATCATTTCCTCGTTAAACACAAAATTCTTCCAAACTTGGTCATTAGTAAGTGGTTATGGTGAATTATGCGTGTGCTTTTAGCCAACAGAATCGGGGAAATGTTTTGAATGAATAACAAGTTAAATAAAGTTATAAGTCGTGTACCGATAGTGATCATTTTGCAGGTCAAGTTTGTTTGTTTAGCTTAGTTTCTATTATAAACGATTGTACAAAGGCAGAAGCATACAACCCTGAGGTGTAAAACTCCGCTCCAGTGCAGGGGCCTTTTTGAAAAACCAATTAATCAAAATATTTACTTCCGGTAAGCCTCCTCGTCGCTTTGCCGTCAGGATAAGTTTCCCGTTTGTCTGTTTTTAAGATCAGTCGTCCTGGTTCATTTTGCTCCCCTGTTTAATTAAGACAGGAGACCTTCCCTCTTAACCATGATTGTTTTATTTCCCGAAAAGAATGAAGTTACTTTTTTAAAATTGATACAATAGAAATATATTAAAAGAAAGAAAAGAAAAAGAGAAAAATGTCTGTACCACACCTGCAGCCTGTGACCATGCTAGTACAGGCCTTTTTTTGCCTGGTATACTGTAACCTGCGCTAGACTTGCCACAAGTCGACTGCGTGAGCGCCTACGAGTGAAAGCGAGCGACGTAAGTCGACTGCGTGAGCGCCGAAGGCGAAGCGAGCGAAAGCGAGCGACGAGGTCGGGACCAACAAGCAAACTGACCGAAAGCAGGACTAGAGAAGGTCTAGAGCCTGCGAAGCAGCGCCGATATCCTTGTTCCAGGCCCCAACAGACTTCACTTTCCTCGCACTTTTCGACCTGATCGGTCTTCCTGGTAACTTAATTGTCCTAGTAACGATCATCTTGGAACCAAGATTTCATGTGATGCGGTATATTTTACTTGCCAGCCTCGCTTTATCGGACTTTTTGCTGTTAATCCTTGTAAACTCATTCCTCATCGAAAGCATAGCACAAGAAAATTGGTTGTATGGTCAAACAATGTGCTATCTCAACTCGTCCTTTGCAAGATACTTCTATATCAACACTATTCTTCATTTGGTAGCAGTGTCTTATGATCGATACCTAGCGATAGTCAAGTCGCCTTTGACGTTCGATGGCATCGTTACAAAGACGAGAATGATGTTTTTGGCTCTCATCTGGATAATCCCTGTGATTCCAGTTTCTTTCGGTCAATTCCGTGGTAATTTAAAATACGTTTACAATCCAAAGGTGTTCTTCTGCGAGCAGCAATGGGCTGTGCAGACTGGTTCCTCCACAAACATAATCGTGTCATTCATCGCAATCCTTCCTGTACCACTCCTGATCATCGTATTTCTAAACGTATCTGTGTACAAAACAGTGAGAAGACAGATTAAAGCCATGATTAAAGTCCATGTAGGTGGCCCTGTTGATACTGAAAGCCCTCAACAGCAAGAGATCGCATCGAGGAGACTAAGAGATCGAAAGGCAGCTGTCGATGTCGCAATCATTATCACCGCATTTTTTCTGTGCTTTCTCCCAGGCTCGATTAGAGGTGTTTGTAGCCAGTTTGTCCCAGAAATTGATTTTCAACCCGAGGTAGTTTTTGTCACAATGTGCATTTTCTTCTTCAACACAATATGTAACCCAATCATCTATTCCATCCGTAAAAGAGAATTCCGTAACGCGGTGAGGAAAATGTTTAGAATGGTCGGAGGTTGTCTAGATTTTAACGGCAACGACACCGTTTGATTGGACAGGAAATTATGAGAAGTGGTATCAACGTTAGCATAAAAGTCATCCATTCACCAGTACCCGTGCTAACCAAGATCATCAAGGAAGATGTATTGGATTGGAAGAAAAAGTGCTGACCGGGTGTCACGCATCCAAAATTACTAACAGCCCATGAAATATATTGAACCAGGAGCCGACTGTGAATTTTTACCATTGTTAAACGGAATCTCAAAACTTCAGTTACCAATATATGTCGGCCGACAACCTATTTAGACGCTCTTTTAAGTTAAATTAAGTTATAAGTCGTGCACCGATAGTGATCATTTTGCAGTTCAAGCTTGTTTAGCTTAGTTTCTATTGAAACGATTGTACCAAACAGAAGCATATAATCCTGTAGTCTGCTACACAGCCGTTTTTAGTGTCGTCACGCAACGCTCCTCCCCTTGCGTGACGACACTAAAAACGGCTGTGTAACAGACTAATAATCCTGAGGCGTATAACTCCGTTCCAGTGCAGGGGCCTTTTTGAAGAACCAATCAAAATATTTACATCTTCGTCCGGCGTTTTGCCGTCAGTTGCCGTCAATTGCCGTTAATCTGTTTTTAAGATCAGTAGTCCTGGTTCATTTTGCTCCCCTACGTGAATTAAGACAGGAGACCTTTTCTCTTAACCCTGATTGTTTCATTTCCCGAAAAAAATGAAGTTACTTTTTTTAAAATTGATATATTAGAAATATATTAAAAGAAAGAGAAGAAAAAGAGAAAAATGTCGGTACCACACCTGCAGCCTGTGACCATGCTAGTATAGGCCTTTTTTGCCTGGTATACTGTAACCTGCGCTAGACTTGCCACAAGTCGACTGCGTGAGCGCCTACGAGTGAAAGCGAGCGACGTAAGTCGACTGCGTGAGTGCCGAAGGCGAAGCGAGCGAAAGCGAGCGACGAGGTCGGGACCAACAAGCAAACTGACCGAAAGCAGGACTAGAGAAGGTCTAGAGCCTGCGAAGCAGCGCCGATATCCTTGTTCCAGGCCCCAACAGACTCACGAATTACCGGAAGAGCGTTTCGAGTTCCCTTCAACCTGATTGGAAAATCGAACATTACTTTTTTAACAGGCCAAACATGGCACGTACTCAAATTTTGGTACACAGGTGGGGGCCCAGACTAAGGATTTCGGGGCTGTTTCGCAGACTTTGGATTTAACCAGAGAATAGTTTCGTCTGTGGCGCAGGTTTAACTCCTATAGACTGCGTATCGCCAAGGCTCACACTTTGTTCTGGGAAGATCGCGAACACCATACCTTGATGGATAGCACATATTCACTTAGGCCACATGAGGGAGCGACCCCCTTCCTTCCCCCTAATTTCTCCTGGGTATCACAGTCGTCCCAAGAGATATCGAAGACAAAGGTTAAATCATTTGTTTATGCAAAATTTTGGAAGGTAAACATGCTGCCACAACAGCATGGTCTTGGTGAAAAGAGTGAATTCTAAAATATCTCAATAAAACAAAATTTAATCGAAAAAAAAACAGTGAATGAATCACGAGTTTTAAAACGATTACTATAAATTTCACTTTGTTGGACTTGTTTCCATGTGTCTCATATCTTTGTCAGATTCAAAATTGTATTTGAAAATCTGTTTGAATTAAAAACAACCAAGAAAAGCGTGCATAATAATTAACTATAATTGCAAGCAAAAATGTCGCTAGCACGTGCATTATACAAGCCAATCAGAAACGCTTTTCTATTTTTGTACAGCGCGCCACGTTTAAAATTTGTGAAAGATATTTATTTGGCAAAGGAAGACTCGAATTAATGCTTCGGACGGAGAGTCTTTCATAAAATATCCAACTTACTTTGCCATATTTTGTAACTTCAAGGAGAAAGACGTTAATGGAAAAGTCTTTCGACAAAGTAACACTGAAAACCAAAGGTTAGTAAAGATTGATGCAATATTCATAGTTTCACGTTAAAATGTTTATTCTGTCGTTTTATTAATTTTCATGTAATGATTTAAATTATTGAAAGTCATACCTACTGCAAGTTTTTTTATGTAGTCATTAGTTTATTTTTTTCTTATCGATACTGATAAATACTGATGATTCGCGGTGAAGCCGCTCAACGAGGCGCGAACGCCGATAGAAAAATAAAACGTCCGTCTCGGGAGCTAAATCAAACCGTGAGCACGGTCTATTTCATCTATAGTTAGGTATTTTGAGAACGGACCTCTGGAGCCAGGGTATACTGTGACAGAAATTTTAAGCGGAAGTAAAAAATACACGCTATTAAAATCAGTCAAGATTTCCGAGGGAAATTATCAGAAATCATACTTGTGACCGGCATGTTACGCACCTCTGACAACTCAAAAACCATACACGGAAAGGCCGATTTCTTAGCACACATAAGAACGGTAATTTCAGCGCGATTTCTGTAATAGAGCGAAGATGCGCCGCGCTGACCTCTAAAGTGGAGAGTCACATATCGAATAGGTGTTCAAAGCTTTCTGTGTCGTCACACTAAAAGCCATCATTTATAGTGTGAACCTGTTGCCTAAAAAGGTAAGGCCTGCTCGAAATAAGCGCAGACGATGAATTTTTTAAATTCAGTTGTCATTTTAATCGCCGCAGTTTTGTAGTATTCGTTTTACAGTGGCTTTTGATTGAGGTTTGACTTTGGCAATCAATTTTTTTTAAAGACCATTATTATTATTATTATTATTATTATTATTATTATTATTATTATTATTATTATTATTATTACAAGTGATACTGCTAAAAGAAAAGTAATAATTATTTTACACTACATAAAGCTTCGAGTTCAAATCTTAATATATTTTACTTTGATCTGGGGTTAGCCTTTTCGTCCTTCTTCGGTGCCGCATGTTTATGCGACGAAGTCACGGTTCGAGTTTGTCCAATATGGTGAGAAGTGATATTCCATTTGCTTTTATTGAAATTGATCGCTCTTTTTGACATACAAATGTCCAGTGACATAGAAATCAGGTTGAGAAAGTAAAATCAACTATTACAGCTGATTCTTAAGTCGCGGCTCAAGGCGATTAATAAAATGGATTTACAAAGAGATACGAATTTCTCTTACTGAAAAGAAAACAACAACAATTTTCCCTCGTCCAAACAAACACAACCGCGATTTCTTTCGTTGGCTTGTTTGTCCACTGAGAAACGTGACATATGCTTTTATCCAATTAGTCCGTAAGCGCGTGAAAAAAGATGGCGGGTATCTTTTTATTTTTTATTTATTATTTTTTATTTAAGTACAAAAAATATATATATATATTCGCGCAAGGGAAAATTAAACGAAAAATAATTCATGCACGCCAATTAACCCTAAGAAATATTCATGCTATGGCCTAAAACAAATTCATACCAGAAATTTGATAACGAAAAAAATTCCTGCGGCTCGAAAATTTCCAATTCTTGAGAGGTCAGGTAAGCTCGAACGGCTTTAAAGTTGTAAACGGTGGCATAGTTGAGCCTTGAATTTTATTGGTCCGTTTGCAAATAAACTTTAGAATCCTTGTTTTCTGAAAAGGTTGTGATTCGACAATATTCTTTGAAGTGTCCCAGTTGGAGTGTCCGCACTGTGACGTTGTTATTGACAACTGCATCAAAAAATTTGGCGCTAGTGGAGTCCCTTCGAGTGTTAACATAAGTGTCGGTTCTTAGTGATCATCTGTAAATTAAAATTTTAAAAGCTTCTCTCGGCAGTTCAGCTCTTATTACTGGATCAACCTAGTTAATTACCTATTGTCCTTATATCCAGTAGACTGGGCCAACTTCAATGAGAACTTAAACATTTTTAAGTAATGCCAAGGGAGATTGACTGCTTGAGTGTATAACTTAAGAAATTAATTCTATAATTATAAAAAGAATTAAATAGACTGATACTTAAACATGCAAGCACAACTCATTCCGTATGAAACTTTTTTATTTCTGATTGTCAACCTCTTCCGCCATTTTTACTCTTTTTCCAGCTTAATGCATGCGTATTTTTTCACACTTTTTTTCTTCTTATTTATTCGCCACCCATGTTAATTTTCTTACATTTGACAATTCAGTGACATAAAGTCGTCGCAGATCCTTTTTTTTTATTAGATGTTTTCAGTTTTTATGTCTATATCTCAATCGATCCCTTTTGTTTTTGGAATTATACATTATTTAGTAGAAATTTCATCTTCCTGTTTTATGTTGCTTGTCTAAAAGCTACCTCAGTGGCATTGATGTGGAAGTCAGTACAAACCTTAAACTAGCGGGTACCGCTGGATAAGACTACAACAAGACTACACTGTCCCACCTCCGTGCGGCTTTTCCTAGATTATAACGTTGGCAAAACCCAAAGTTGAAAAAGTTTTAAAAACCCATGATGGAAAAAAGAGGGCACTTTTGCACATGAGAAAATTGAGGGAGAAAGTGCAGTATGGAAAATACATGCCCCACGGAAGTTTACTCAACAGAAAATCTGCACTTTCGTTTATGTCTTAATAACAAAATCCAAAGAAAAGATTTAGATGATTTGTGAATCGACGACTTTTGTGCTGTCTTGTTGTCACTTCTCGCAATTTTCATGCGCGCGTCCTCGAAATTTCTCTCTTCGCCCTGAAAAAACGGCACTTGCTACGCAGGCTAAAAATTTTAAGTCAAATTGTGCCGTTTTCGTTAGAATCACGACAAGCTCCAGCCCTTCTGAATATTTTCTTCACTGCTTTACGGAATTCTCGTTTACGGATGGAATAGATGATGGGGTTGCATATTGTACTTAGGAAGTAAATGCACGTTGTAACATGAACTGCCTCGGCTGGAACATCTATTCCCTGGCGACAAAGAGCTGTGATACGGACTATGAGAAGGCACACCATAAATGCGGAGATGATGATGGCGACATCAACAGCTGCCTTACGATCCGTGAGTCGCCTTGATATCCTCTCTTGCTGTTGAAGGCCTTCAGCACCGTCATGATGGCCACCCACATGGACTTCCATGTTGTATATTTGTCTTCTCGCCGTCTTGTATACTGAAACGTTTAGGAAGACAATGTAAAGGAAAGGCACTGTAAGGGTAACGATCGGTAGAATACCCCTTTTTCCTCTAACTGTTTCACCGTGCTCGCAGTAGAACACATCTGGGTTGTAAACGTATTTTCCCCAACCAAGGAATGGACCGATTGTAAACGGAATCGGGGTTATCCAGATGAGAGCCATAAATGCTACTCTGGTTTTTGTAATGTTGCCATAATACGTCAAAGGAGACTTGACTATCGCTAGGTATCGATCATAAGACACTGCGACCAAGTGAAGAATTGTGTTAATGTAGAAGTATCTCATGAAGAATGGGTTGAGATAACACATTGTTTGGCCATATAACCAATGTTCTTGCGCTATGCTCTCGATGCGGAATGAGTTGACGAGGACCAACAGCAGAAAGTCTGATAAAGCGAGACTTGCCAGTAAAATATATCGCACCACATGAAATCTTGTTTCGAGGATGATCGTCACTATGACCAATAAATTACCAGGAAGACCGATCACATCGTACAATGCGTGGAACGCTGCTATCACTTTAGGAAAGGCCATGGCTGAAATCATTGCTCATAAGTAATTTACTAAGCTTTAACATTATGAGCAAATTGACATAAATGAGATTATTTCCTAAATGTATGTGCTTTTACAGTTGGCGTGCATAGTATTAACATTTTGGGCAAAAGCTAATGAGGTCCGATATCATTCGGCTTCGTCAAGTCTTATAGTGAACGGAAACGTGGTTTCATAACAGTAACAAAAGCACAGACAGCCGTACTTTGAAAGAAATCCTTTTAGTCATTAAGATGATAATTTTTCACGACGTAATACTTTATAAAGATATCATGTGAATGGGACATACGTCTAGTAAAATACGTTTAGTAAAATTTCTGATATCGATTCCTCATTCCCATTCCTTTTTAGCTTCGGTTTGTTGAGAAAGATATCGATTTTTGCTTAATTTATTTTTTGCTCGATTAGAAGAAAGAAGTAACAACCTCAAAATTCATGGGAATTAAATAGGTCGCAGTATTACGCAGCGTTTATTTTATTTATAATTAATCTTCTTTCAACCTTTTTTTCCACCCATTTTTGCCTTTCTAATGTAGACTTGTCATAATCATGTAACCCGTAAAATGAGCTATATCTTGAACCAGGTAGAGATTCATTCCAAGAAAATTGAAATGTTGCTTAGAATTACTAAATCTGCATCTGAAAAACGTTTTCGTTCTCTCTCTTTTTTTATATAAATTACCATCTTGCCAAAATATAGCTTTAGTTTAGCCGGAAAATATCAAGAGACTCGAGTGGTTTTTCCTTCCATTCTCTTAGGCGTCGTAACACAATTATAACTAGTTATGTTAGTTGACACCACAGCTGCCCCCGCTCTGTATGCTGTCGGTCCGATCAATCGTACTATTGGTAATTGCGTAGCTCTTTGACATTTCTCTTGATTGGGTGGAAATCAAAAGAAGAAAAGAAGCCTTGATCTTTTTAAATCAGCCATTGTTTTTGAAATTATTGGACAGTAAAATGTTAGTGTTCTTGGGAATCAAAGGTCTTTTTAACATGTGCCTTCTTCAAACTTTCTGTCACTCAATTCGATATATTTGGAGAGAAATTTCAACTCACTTTTGCGTTCGTCTTTTGTAAAATAATTTATATCTGGAACATATTAATTTTAAAGGAACATCAAGCCTTAGTTTCGCTTGTTTGTATGTTTGACTGTGATGTCCCAAAGAATAGCGAGGCCCGAATAAATATATCAAGACCTAAAATTTTACTTAAACATGACCTGTAATTTGAGAGATATTTTTATGAAAACTAGAAAGATATAGTGAAAGGAACCTAGGAATTTTTAACTTCAGCAACCAGGGGCGTTCCAGGGCATTTTCCAGCTTTAAGCCCCCTACCAGAGAATGTTGCTGGTATGCGCTTACTAATTTACACCGGTACAAGAGCCGGGATTTAAAGGGGGGTAAAGCCCGGGCGTAAAGTAACTTTAGTTGGTCCTTTACTGAGTTACAATCACTTTACATAAATGTTGTATTTCCCTACTTCTACACAATATCATGATGAACACAAAGACAAAACTGTGTAAGCGTGGCATTCTAAAATGAAAGGCCGAGGCCTGGAGCAGAACTCCCGAACCACCTTGTCTGTGTCGATGCTCTTGTCCCTGTACGCATGAAAAGCGCGAGCCCAGAGGACCTCTCTGCTCGTATAGTAGAGCGCAAGTACGTCTTGACCCTTCACATACAACTAAATGATTTCCAGAGTTGTTGTCGACACTGGCGTCGTCAAAATATTTGTGAGAATGAAATTTCCCCAAAAAATGTTTTAAGCCCGTGAGTTAACTGGCTTACAGTCAGGTACGCCCCTGGCAACTCCACTGTTGTTACAGAAGAGGAGGCCATGGGCTCTTTATGGAACCTGAATAAGCTACCCAAAAACTTCTTAGGGTTTTCCTTAGTCCTATACTTCTACGTACATGGGCGCCTGTAAACCCGTTACAGTTTTTGTCTTAAAATTGTGTGGAGGTCAGTACCCCAAAATAGGCTGAGGGATCGTCTACGGTTAGCCCTTCATGATGGCCACCCACATGGACTTCCATGTTGTATATTTGTCTTCTCGCCGTCTTGTATACTGAAACGTTTAGGAAGACAATGTAAAGGAAAGGCACTGTAAGGGTAACGATCGGTAGAATACCCCTTTTTCCTCTAACTGTTTCACCGTGCTCGCAGTAGAACACATCTGGGTTGTAAACGTATTTTCCCCAACCAAGGAATGGACCGATTGTAAACGGAATCGGGGTTATCCAGATGAGAGCCATAAATGCTACTCTGGTTTTTGTAATGTTGCCATAATACGTCAAAGGAGACTTGACGATCGCTAGGTATCGATCATAAGACACTGCGAGCAAGTGAAGAATCGTGTTAATGTAGAAGTATCTCATGAAGAATGGGTTGAGATGACACATTGTTTGGCCATATAACCAATGTTCTTGTGCTATGCTCTCGATGCGGAATGAGTTGACAAGGACCAACAGCAGAAAGTCTGATAAAGCGAGACTTGCCAGTAAAATATAACGCATCACATGAAATCTTGATTCCAATATGATCGTCACTATGACCAATAAATTACCAGGAAGACCGATCACATCGTACAATGCGTGGAACGCTGCTATCACTTTAGGAAAGGCCATGGCTGAAATCATTGCTCATAAGTAATTTACTAAGCTTTAACATTATGAGCAAATTGACATAAATGAGATTATTTCCTAAATGTATGTGCTTTTACAGTTGGCGTGCATAGTATTAACATTTTGGGCAAAAGCTAATGAGGTCCGATATCATTCGGCTTCGTCAAGTCTTATAGTGAACGGAAACGTGGTTTCATAACAGTAACAAAAGCACAGACAGCCGTACTTTGAAAGAAATCCTTTTAGTCATTAAGATGATAATTTTTCACGACGTAATACTTTATAAAGATATCATGTGAATGGGACATACGTTATAATTTTTAGTAAAATTTCTGATATCGATTCCTCATTCCCATTCCTTTTTAGCTTCGGTTTGTTGAGAAAGATATCGATTTTTGCTTAATTTATTTTTTGCTCGATTAGAAGAAAGAAGTAACAACCTCAAAATTCATGGGAATTAAATAGGTCGCAGTATTACGCAGCGTTTATTTTATTTATAATTAATCTTCTTTCAACCTTTTTT